AAAGTGTCTGTTTAAAAAGCCTTTTGGCCAGCTTCCTCTGAGCCATTCCATGGAGCTGCCAGGCAGTGTTCCCTCTAAGCTGAGCTAGCTCACAGTTTTTTAGCCCTTGGCTCACACATTTTTGTCTTAGCTCAGGAAGGATGGTTCCAGAGCAAACTAACTTATGCAGTAGCCAGATTGCTTGCTCACAACTTTAATGCCAGTAGCTTACAAAGTAGATTTTTTTCTCACAAGACTCCACAGCTTGGAGGGAGCATTGCTGCCAGGTAACATCTTGTAGAAATTATTATTATGTAGCACAGTCACTGGGCATGGCACAGAGTAGCTATCAAAAATGCAGGTTCCTGCCCTGAGCCGCTTAACCAACAGACTGAAAGGGCCAAGGACAAGAAACAGTCATCAAGAGGTTCCGGTGATGTCAGGGGGTGTGGCCTTATGACACGCTTCCGGTGATGTCAGGGGGTGTGGCCTTATGACACACTTCCGGTCATGTCAGGGGGTGTGGCATATGCTAATGAGTTATGCTAATGAGCTCTGCAGTGGACTCTATGGCATTATACTAGGGTTGCCAAGTCCAAAATTACTTACTGTAGGGGAGTCCCGCACCGTCCCAACAGTCCGAGCACGTGTGCGCGCCACCGCGATGACACCACCCGGAAGTGACGTCATCGCATCAGCACATTGGGGGCGGGGCCACCTCTGGGTGACATCATCATGCTGGGGACGTGTGCCGGAAGGGGGTGGAGTTCCCCCTGGAGCCCGATTTGCTGGCATCGGGTAACGGGCCTCTCGGGCAGGAGTTTACCCACCCCCGGGGGGACTTGGCAAGCCTACATTATACCCTGCTGAGGTCCCTCCCCACCCAAAACCCTGCCCTCCCCAGGCTCTACCCCTCAAATCTACAGGTATTTCCCAACCCAGAGTTGGCAACCATGTAACTGTCTATGGAACCACTTTCCAGACCCTTGGAAGCCAGGAAATGTGGCACAGGAGGAGGTGCTTTTCTACCTTAGCTGCCACTGGCATAACACCCCTCTCCCCCTCAAAAAATAAGTCAGAGGTGGAGAGAACCATACCTGTTACCATGAGGCTGTCCTCCCATTCTACCCACTTGGGGCAGCAAAATGACTTGAGACAGCCCTGCCTTATAGCTAAGCAGAAGGAAAGAAACATGGCTTGCCTCCCTCCATTTTCCGCTTCCCTCTGCCGCCCCACCAGCCACAGTCGGGACACTCATCTGGAGCTTCCTTCTAGATCTCGTTGTATTTCTTCCCACAATGGGCATTACTCCTAGTAAAATATAAACAGTAATAGCAGCAGTAACAGTTTGAGTTAGTAGCCCTTTTCATTCATTACATTCCTGAATCTGTGACTGCTCATATGAGACAAATGCACTGCATGTAATCCTCCCAACCCACATGTTGCCCCTTCCAGAAAAAAAATGGTAATTATGTGTATTGGGAGGATTGTTGTGTGTAGCACGTTCATCTTGCGTACGTAGTCACTGAGAAGGAATCTAACAACTGAAAGGGGCTGGAGTAATCTGTGCTGTGTTGGGCACTTTGTACTAATGGCAAAATACATGAGAATGAAGAAGGCATGAGACAGGTGTGTGTGCTAATGGTGGGTAAGGGGAGTAGTTGTTGGTGTTAGATCTGTGCCAGGGTAAGTTGTCTGGCCACTAGAATTCACAAATCTAGTCTGCCATGCAGAACATGTTGTGCAAGCCAGTATAACTCAAGCTGTTTCAGTCTCTCAGACCAAATGTGGAGTGTTCTTCCTTTTCCTTTCTCCTCCTCCTCATTGCCAAACTGGTTGGTAGAGAATTTAGTGTGAGGGAGAGAAGGCTGACATTTGTCTGTTTGGATTTGGGGTAGTTAAGAAGCTTACGGTGATGAGGGGACAAGACAGTGGCTTGCAACTCATGGTCTTTAATAATCTTCTGTATCAGAGGACAGTTTAGTAGACATAAGGTTCTTCTGTTGTAGTACTATAAAGCAGGGGCACTATGGGGCAGCACCGGACAGGCTTTTCCTTGTTGGACATTTATTAAAAGTTACTAAAACACCTTTAGAGGTGGAAGCCTAGCTCCAGGTGGATTTACGGTCATATTTTCCTCCAGCCAGTTGTTGTTCAGGGGCAGGGAGATTTGTTTATTTTAAGGTCCGTCTAGTGCTATAATAAAGGACTATAAAGGAGCTGCGGTGGCTCGTGGTTAAGACGCTGAACTGCAGGCTCTGGAAGGTCGGTAGTTCAGCAGTTCGAGACCTGAGTGTGCCGCATGACGGAGTGAGCTCCCATCTCTAGTTCCAGTTCCTGCCAACCTAGCAGTTTGAAAGCAAGAAATTGCAAGTAGATAAATAGGTACCGCTTCAGGGGGAAGGGAACAGCGTTCCGTGCGCCTTGGTGTTTAGTCATGACCACGGAAACGTCTTCGGACAGCACTGGCTCTTCAGCTTTGAAACGGAGATGAGCACCACCACCCTAGAGTCGGATTCGACTGGCTTTCGAGCAAGGGAAACCCTTTACCTTTTAGTGCTATAATATCTACTCTGACTGGTGGTGGCTATCCAGTGATTCTTGTTCTGGGGTGAAATGAAGAACTGAGAGCCAGAGAATGTGACGTATGTCTCAGTCTGGTTACACCGTGGATATTATTAAAGTCAGGTGAGTGACTCCCCTGTTCAAGCAATAGAAGTTGTTTTGAATCCAGCATAACATGTATCAAGGGTAGCTGGTGAACTTGTCTTGGTTAAATTGCACCATGAAGTCTCTGTTCTCTCCCTTGCTTGTCACTGAACAGGAGAAGGAGAAAGCCCACGAAGGAGCACGCCCTATGCGGGCCATCTTCTTGGCTGATGGGAAGATCTTCACAACCGGCTTCAGCCGTATGAGCGAACGGCAGCTGGTGCTCTGGGACCCCGTGAGTAGGAAGAGGGGACTGTGGGTGAAATGAGCCTAGTTCAAGAACGTTTGTTCTTCTGCAGGGGGGCCAGCTAAGGAAAGAAGGGGTCTGCTGTGTAGAGAAGGAGCCCCCTCTGCACCTGGGGGGCTTTTGTGCTGAGCCAAGGCGTCCTTTAGCGATCCCACCTTGAGAAAGAGGTGTAATTTTCTTATCTGATCCTAGGTTCTTTTCATTCTCATAACCGTACAAAGTGGGTGTGGCTGAAAGATTAGCTACACATTAGGTGATGCATCTGTTGTATTGTTTATGTGTTCCAGGAGAATCTGGAGGAGCCCATGGCATTGCAAGAGCTGGACTCAAGCAATGGGGCCCTTCTTCCCTTCTACGACCCCGATACCAGTGTGGTCTATGTCTGTGGCAAGGTAGGCTACTGGAAAGGGGTGGGGGTGAAGCAGTCGTCACAGGGGAGACTCTGGCTCAGATCCCTATCCAGCCACGAGACTTGCCGTTTCTCAACCCAGTCTACTTCACAGGGCTGTTCTGGGGATGATGGGGGGCAAGAGAGTAACGTATGCCACCTTGATCTTCTTTGAAGAAACACCAGAAACAGAACTTTCATAATACCTTTAACAACTGTGCTTCGTGATGTCAGTTCAGACATTCAGCTCTTAAATCATCGGGGGTGGAACAATCAAATGCCACATTGTCTAAAAATCAGCCCTAAACAGGCAAGATTTGATTCCAGACCTCATTTGTGCTTTTCTTCCATTTCTACCCTCTGATTTGATTCCAGACCTCATTTGTGCTTTTGTTTCTTCCATTTCTACCCTCCGAACTGAGAGCTAATACTACACAATGAAGATATTCCCTTGGTTGCACCTCCTGTTTCCTGACTAGTTAGCTCTGTTTCTTGAAAAGGAAGTGCAGAGTCCGAAGTGATTTGTGGAGATGGTGCAGCCCCAGTGGGCTGGAGCCTCCCTCAGCATCCAGCTGCTGCCAGAGTGCCAAGAGGTTCCCTGTGCTGGGGGAAGGCTCCACGCGTCGGCGAACAGAAGGGTGGGATCTGGCCCCCCTGTGCCCCTGATCAGGAGTGTCCACGGTGTGTCCTTTGTCCCGTTCCCTTCCAGGGAGACTCAAGCATCCGGTATTTTGAGATCACAGCAGAGGCACCCTACATCCACTTCCTGAACATATTCACTAGCAAGGAGCCACAGCGTGGCATGGGATGGATGCCCAAGCGAGGTCTGGACGTCAACAAGTGTGAGATTGCCAGGTACTCCGAATAGCTTGTGGGGAAGGCGGGTGGGCTGGCATCCTCATGAATAGAGGAGCCAAGGAACTTCATGTAAGCGTCTGTTGATGACATGCTTTATATTGCCCTTGCCCCTCCAACTCTTCTGTACCCTCTCTCTCTCTCTCGGCAGGTTCTACAAGCTCCATGAGCGGAAATGTGAACCCATTATCATGACAGTGCCAAGGAAGGTGAGCCCTTGATCAGAAGGGGGCTGGGCACAGCCTAATTTTGATTACAAGGAGCCCCCCTGTTCATCCCCCTTGTTTCTTGCTATTTTGGGGGACACAGACAGAGGCATGCATGGAGGTGTGGCTACAGGGACACTCCAGAGGTGTAGTTGTGTATATGCGGATGATTGCACAAGAGCCTTTTGGGCAGCCTTTCAGTTCTGTGTTCGAATCCTGAGGCATGGGGAAAAGCCACTCCCATGGCTGTGTCCATCCAGCACCTTGTGGATGTGCATGATAGAGCTGAGCACACAAGTTGTATACCCCACAATTTAGCTTTTTTCTATCAGGAGAAGTTGTTGTGCCACTTCCAGGATGTAAGGCCTCCTCCATTAAGTATTGTCCTTCCTAAATGGACAGCAGGATCTTCTCAAAGATATCAGCAGCCTTTATGTCCCAACGGCAGCACTTGAGTGTGTGGGTGCACACAGGTACTCTGTTGGCTTCTACATAAAACCAGCCAAAATACCCCCACTGTTCCCCACACCCCACTGCTGAGGTCTCAAATATGTGTTTTGTCTTAAGACAAAATCAAGACTCTGATGTTACAAAACTAGTCTGTGGATTTTAATAACAGCAAGTCTATAATGCTCTGTTTCAAGTGCTTCGCACTCAGTCATCAGATCCAGAAGACAGGCTGGTATTATTGCACGTGACAAGCTGAGAAAATGTGCCTATAAATTCATGGTGCTGGTAAGGGTTGAGTTGGGAGTTCGTAGCTCACAGTTTTTGTCATTACTGCATACAAGTAAAGTACAAGGTTTGCAAGAGGCCTTACTTTGGATATTGCATTATCATCTTATTTTGCATTTTTCCTGTTCCCTTTTGAGGACAGACAGAGAGAAGTTGGTTAGGTTTGAACCTGATACATAGTCTCATTTGTATTTACACTCAGACTTTCACTTAGATGTTTTGTCCTTCAAAGGAGATAACTGTGGTTCATTGTGTTTTGTTTGCTAGTCTCCTTGGAATGGTTCTGTTGCCCCTTTCGCCTCCCTTCCTGTTGAAAAATAGTTACTTTGGTCAGTGGCATTTAAACTTGAAATAGCATTGTGCCCTGAATGTGTCTACTAAATTTCATTCCAATAACTCAGTGTTCAGTGGTGTTATGAACAAGCTTGGCAACTGAATGCTGGGTGGACAAGCTAAAGGTAAAGGCCTTGCCTGGCTTGGCATAACAGTATGTCTTCAAGTGAAGCTCTTTGGAGCAAGACTTAAGAACATAAGAACATAAGAGATGCCAATGTTGGATCAGGCCAAAGGCCCATCCAGTCCAACACTCTGTATCACACAGTGGCCAGAAATACCAGTGCCATCAGGAGGTCCACCAGTGGGGCCAGGACATTAGAAGCCATCCCACTGTTGACCCCCCCAAGCACCAAGATGACTTCCCTAGCTTTGCAACTTCCTACCAGCAACTTTATACTGCTTTGTAACTTAACTTAACTTAAAGCTTTCAAAGCAGTTCATAGTATAGAAGTTACAGAACAGATAAAAAAGCACAGTCACAGAAATCAATGGACAGAAGGAAAAAACTTTCAGTCCTTAGAATACTCTGAACTTCATCCTCAGACTTCCAGAGGAGAACAGCCTTCACCTACATCTGGAATGAGTATGTGAAAACACAAATGGACCTTCTGAGGAGATACAGTTCCATAATGGTGGGGCAACCTGTGAAAAGGCCCTGCTGTTGCTGGATGCCAATCTTGCATCAGGCTGAGATGGTATTCTGAATGGGGTCTTGTTGGCAAAGTTCCAGGAAAGATTCATATGGGAACAGATATTCTCACAGATACTCTGCTCTAAAACCATTAAGGATTTTAAAGGTCAAACCCAGCGGCTTGAATTGTGCTCAGAAACAGAAATAATCCACGTGGCAGTTGTAGCACTCATGCTATGGGCCTCCTTATACCCAGCGACAAGTTTTGGGCCACTTGTAGTTTTCTGACAACCCTTGTTCGCAACCTCACATCAAATGCATTACAGTAGTGTCATCTTGAAGTTTCTAAGGCATGAATGGTATTGGCATTGCCTCTTCTTTTCCAATAGTAGGTGTAACTGTCAAATCACCTTAAGCTATGATCTCCAAGGCTCCGGAAGCACAGCTGAATTGAGAAGGATCTCTAGGTTGTAAATACATGTCAGGGAGACTGCCCTTCTGTCTGTCACGGGCACTTCCTGTGCTAACTGGACCACTACCTCTCTTACAAACATCACATCTGTCTTGTCTGGATTGATCTTCAGTTTATTCACCCTCATACACTTCATGACCACTCCAGGCAACTATTCAGAATGGCAGTTAAATCCAGATTGAATGAATAGAAGAAACAGAGTGGGATGTTGTCAGTGGTACTGGTGGCACCCCACTGCCACATCTCCAGATGACCTCTCTCAGCCACTTCATATGCATGTTACATAGCACAGGAAACAGACTATAACCCTGAGGAACTTTATAGGACTAATCCCACGGAGTGGAGCAGACGTTTCCTAGGATCAGCTTGTGAGACCTAGAAAGAGCTGGAGCCACCGCAAACCAGAAGCTGCCAGTCCCAGCTTGGCTCTGTGGTATTCAAAGCATCTGAAAGATCTAGGTAAACTAACTGGATCTCATGCTGAAGGGCCATCAAATACGGCCGTCAAGAGCTATCTCAGCTCCCAACTGAAGTAAGCCAAGGTACTGAGTTATCTTACTCTATATTTGTCTGAACAATTATTCCTTTGACCCGACCCACTTCTGTTAATCCTGAAGGATGCTTTATGGGCTCTTGGGCAGGGGGACGCTTCCTAGCCTTGCTGCATGAAATACTGGAGCTCAGACTTGAGTCATCAGGTTTCTAAATGACAGATGTGCTTTGCTGTTTAGCAACAGCCTCCCTCTAATTTCAGCCCTGAGGAAACGCCTGTAGTGTTGAGCAGAACTGAATGTTCTAGACAAAAGAATAAGTGATCACCTGTTAAGTATGTTGATCGTTTTCTTGCATTTTACCTTGAATTGTGTTGCCGATGGGAACGGCAGATCCTGGTAGGAGGGGGTGACACAGGCCAGTATTAACACTGCCCTCTCTTTGCAGTCAGATCTGTTCCAAGACGACTTGTACCCGGACACAGCAGGGCCAGAAGCTGCCATGGAAGCAGAGGAATGGGTGGCGGGGAAGACAGCAGCCCCGATCCTCATCTCCCTGCGTGAAGCCTACGTGCCCACCAAGCAGCGGGACTTCAAGGTCAACCGAAGGAGCTTGTTGCACGAGAGCCAGCCTGTCGCCGCCAGCACCAGGCTGAGTGCCACACACCCCAGTGCCACGTCCCAGCCTGCTGCCACACCTCCCATCAGCAGTGGCACTGCCAGCGGGGTAGGTTCTGTTTGACTGCCTGCACCAGAAGAAGGGAATCTGGGGTGAGTGGGGTGGGGAGTCCTTCTCTGCCTGTCTTGACATGGCTGCAAAGAGGCCGAGTCGAAGGGAAAGGGTGGAAGTGGGTTATAATTACAAGAATTGGAAGTAGGATGGGATTCTGATGCTTTCAACAGAAGGGGGGCTAGGGGGCAGCACTGGAATCAGAGTTGTGCCTATTCAGCATGTCTGGTTTGCTGCCTGTTGAGACTCACCAGCCCTCGTTACTTTGAGAAAGGCGAGTTTCTATCCCTTCATGAACCGAAGAAAACTTGGAACGTGTGCAGTCATTTCAGGTCTCTAAGAAGAACTCAGTAGGACTTTGTGTGGATTTTAGAATTCTGCACAGTTACCCTTGCTACATACAATTAAGCAGTGTTGAGTTTATCCTACTCTTATTTTTTGGTACACATTCCTAAATGCCTTGTAAACCAGACTATTGAAAGCGAAACAGATCACGTAAAGTATGCAAGTATGCTTGGAGTTTCTCTCTTTGAAAGTAACAGCCTGCTTCCTTCCCCTCGCTTCCATGAGCTTGTGGTTGGATACAGTATGCATGGCTGGGTTGCACTGATCCTGGTGGGAAGCATTGGCCTGTGTTGCTGCCTCTTCCCCGGTAGGCGCCTGTCACTGGAGGGGCTGACCTGAGTTGTGGGGATGTGGGTTCGGAGAGCACTGAGCCTGTTTTCCTGTTGCAGGAAGGTGGGCAGACAGTGGAGGAGGTGCTGCGTGAGGTGGCATCGCTGCGAGCACTTGTGGCTGCACAGGGAGAGCGCATCACACGGCTGGAGGAGCAGCTGAGCCGCATGGAGAATGGCGACGTCTAGGGGGCCCCTGAAGAGGCCTCTCCAGCACGGATCTTCTCAAGGCTTCACCCTCCTCGAGCTGCCAGTGGATCCTCCGCACTGCCTCCTCCTGACCCGCCCTCTCTTGCTGCTGCTGCTGCTGCTGGGGAAATGTACAAGCCTCCTTTTCTCGCTGCTCTCCCGTTCCGTGTTCCTCAACCACGGGGCAGTTGCTGGGCTCTCCACGTCTGCCCCTTTGCCTTATCTCGTTCAGGGTCCTCCTGCTCTGCCCCACGGCCGGGGTGATCCTTGCCCTCCCTGTGGGGACCAGAACTAGCTACGTGCTCTGCCTGGTATGTTCCTGCCCCCCCCCCCCCCCCATTTTCACGAAAGGCCACCTGGGC